GTGTTCATCCAGCTCTGCACCTTGTTATCTCCATCTGGTGGAACTTGGTCAGTGGCAGTGCCTGCTAACAAAGGGCAGTGAGCAGAGATGGGGCATAGGGAGAGAGGGACTAGACCAGGGAGTAAGGCTGCTAAGCGACAGCAGAGATCGGGAGGGGCGCGGAGGCAGAGCAGGAGACAAAACCAGGGCAGGGCACAGAGCTGAACACCGCCGTAGGGAAGAGAGACGAGGGCAGGACTGAAGGCGAGAGTGGGACAGATTATATGAGCCATACTGCAGGTTGTCTGCAGAAACAAGGTGGAAGCAAAATGGGTAAAGTCTGGAGTTAAGGCGCTTATGGTTAATCGGGGACATCATTGTATCTTTCTGGACTTGTCTGCAACTCTTTGATAATGACAATCTCTGACTTACCCTCCTAGTCAGCCCATTTCCATCTCCATACTGCAGCCTTACTTGCTTCTTCCTGGCTTCCCCCTCTTTGTCTGACTCTTAAGCAGCAGCCTATGAGCTCTCCAACGTACTGGGGTCCCGATGGGGTGAAGCAGAAGAGAAATCAGGAGGGCGTGACCTTGAATTTTGAATTTGAGGCTATATATGTAGTTTGACAGAGTTTGCGGATTTGCCACTTGGGAAAGTAATGCTATCCCTTGAGCCCCTTCCTGCCCTGGGTCACCAGGTTTGATGTACTGCCACCCACTCTTTACACCGCACCACCACACCCCCACCCCAAATCATGTGAGGAGCAGGTTCAGTCCGTCGCACTCGCTGTGCAAGCGAGTAACTGCCCGTCCCTTAGAGTTGTTAGTGCAGGAGGCTGTTGAGCCCATCATTCTTATCCTGTTTTCATTTCCTGGTATCCTCTCTGCTCCTTGTCAAGTAATGCTATTTCTTTAATCTCCCTGTCCGCTTTCGAGTGAGGAAATCAGCGTTTCACAAAACAATTTCTCTTGTTTTCCTGGTGATAGTCTCGAACGTTACCAACTTAGAGCAGGGGATTCGGTTAGTGGCTAACTTCTTGGCTTATCATTGCCCAGTGTTTGCCGAGCTGTTTAAGACTGCGGCGCTGACCGTTCTCCATTCTCTCTCCGCTCAGGTTTAACCCGTATCTTAAAAGGCCGTGGCGAGATGGTGAAAAACCGCACTGTGGACTGGGCCTTGGCTGAGTACATGGCCATTGGGTCCTTGCTGAAGGAAGGTATTCATATCCGCTTGAGTGGGCAAGACGTGGAGAGAGGAACTTTCAGGTAAAACTCAGAGCAAGGCAGCTTCTGTTTCCGTGATGGGAGGCTCCCGGTTAATGTGTCTCATGTCTGAGGCAAAGGTTAGCAGGCAACACAGAATTGAACACTGAGTGATAGAAATCGGGTTCTCCTGACAATACAGCAAGTTTCCTGGTCACTGTTCCTGCAACTCACTTTGGATTCCAGCTTAACTGACAACAACTGAGTGGGCTGGCACAGTGGCTCCAGTGGTTAGCGCTGCTGCCTCATGGCGCCAGGGACCCGGGTTTGATTCCCCTCTCGGGTGACTGTCCACGTGGGTTTCCTCCTGGTGCTCCAGTTTCCTCCCACAGTCCAAAGCTGTACAGGTTAGGGTGAATTGGCCATGCTAAATTGCCCCGTAGTGTCCAAGGATGTGCCAGTTAAGCAGATTGGCCATGGGAAATGTGGGTTTATGAGGATAGGGTAGAGGGGTGGGATGCTGTTCAGAGGGTTGATGGGCCGAATGGCCTGCTTCAATATGATTTCCAGAGTTGAGTTCTGAGGATGGGTCACCGGACCGGAAACGTTAACTGTTTTTTCCTTCACAGATGCTGCCAGACCTGCTGAGCTTTTCCAGCAACTTTGTTTTTGTTCCTGATTTACAGCATCCGCAGTTCTTCTGGTTTTTCCCGAGTTGCCAAGCCGGGATTCGAACCTCTCGCAATCTTGGGTCGTTGTTATAATAACGCTACTTGATGCAATCCGCTGAGTGAGCAGCGGGCGATGTTGTTTTGGGCTTTATCCCTTGGTGTGAGTGGCTTGCCAAGACATTCCCCCAGTTTTAGGGCCATTGCTGCTTTCTGTCTTTTGAAACAACCTAGATTCAGGTGTCAGGAGCAGTCCCTCAAAACTTGGATGGTCATCAGTGAGAGTTTGGGCAGGGCTTGTACCATGTAATCATTGGGGCAAGTGACAACGTCACTGGACTGCCACCCCAAGAGGCCCACGTTTATGACCTAGGAACATAGGTTTGAGCCTCACCGAGGCAGCTGGGGAAATTTGAACTCAACAAAAATCTAGGATTTTTTAAAATTTGTTGTTTAAAAACTCATCTGGTTCACGAATCGTAGCATGCCTATGGTGTGGAAGCAGGTGAGTCTATACCAACCCTTTGAAGAGCATCCCAGGCTGCACCCTACTCCCACCCTAGCCGGTGATGCCCATGACCCGTGAATGAATTTTTAAAACTCCCACAGATTTGAGAAAAGGCTGTATTGTTTAATGGACTCGAGGCTTAAAGAGAGAGATTTTTAATCTTTCTGATGAAGGGTCTAGGCCCGAAACGTCAGCCTTCCTGCTCCTATGATGCTGCTTGGCCTGCTGTGTTCATCTAGCCCTGCACCTTGTTGTCTCGGATTCTCCAGCATCTGCAGTTCCTACTATCTCAGATTTTTAATCTTGCTAGGGAATCCAGGGTTATAGGGAAAGGGCAGGAACGATGAGTCGAGGATTTATCAGATCAGCTACGGATTCATTGAATGACGGATCGGACCCGATGGGCTGAATGGCCTCCTTCTGCTCCACTTTTCTGACTTCAATGCTGTATACGCTTTTGAAAAAGACTGTTTTTCAAAACGAGTCAGTGTTCATTATTAATGACGTTGTGGTGTAGCCACTGACCTCAAGAATGTCAGCTTTGCTCACAACATCTAGGATGGTGAGATTGAAATGGAACTTTGCAACAGTGTCCTCGGGTGTGAACAGTAAAATGCGTGTAGATTGTAACTGTCATATTTGTTCAACCTGATACTGCAGAGAGGTTATTCTTGTATTCTGTCTCTCCCCTCCCCCACCCCCCACATCTCTGCTGCTATCAGTCATCGGCATCACGTGCTGCACGACCAAAACGTAGATAAGAAGACTTGTATTCCTATGAACCATCTCTGGCCAAACCAGGCTCCGTACACCGTGTGTAACAGCTCGCTCTCTGAATACGGCGTGCTGGGTAGGACCTTTACCATTACCATTTCACACAAAGCTGCTCCGAGCTAGCGAGAAAGATGGCAATGCAGTGGGGTGTGAGTGTGTGTGTGTAAAACCCCTTGTCCTTCTGGATGGAAGTGGGTCGTGGGTTTGGAAGGTGCTGTCTGAGGGGCCTCGGTGAGTTGCTGCAGTGCATCTTGTAGATGGTACACACTGCTGTTACTGAGCGTTGGTGGTAGGGGGGAGTGGGATGTTTGTGGATGTGGGGCCAATCAAGCGGGGGGGCTGCTTTGTCCCTGGATGGTGTCGAGCTTCTCGAGTGTTGTTGGAGCTGCCCCCATCCGGGGCAAGTGGGGGTATTCCATCACACTCCTAACTGCGTAGAGTTTGCACATTCTCCCCGTGCCTGTATGGGTTTCCTCCGGGTGCTCCAGTTTGCTCCCACATTCCAAAGATGTGCAGGTTAGGGTGGTTTGGATGTGCTAAATTGCCCCGTAGTGTCCAGGGATGTGCAGGCTAGTGGTTTAGCCTTGGGAAATGTAGGGTTACAGGGATTGAGGTGGATCAGGGTGGGATACTGTCCATAGGTTTGGTGTGGGCTTGATGGGCCTGCTTCCACACTGTAGGGATTCTATGATACTGGGCAGGCTTTGGGGGGAGTCAGGAGGGAAAGTTCCTCGCTGCAGGATTCCTGGCCTCTGACCTGCTCTTGTAAACACTGTGTTTGTTTATGTGGGGCTGATCCTGTTCAGTTTCTGGTAAGTAACTGAAATTTTGACCAAGTCGTAAGGGAATTCCATTAGACAGTGATGCATAGGTGTAGAATTAGGCCATTCAGCCCATCAAATTTGATATATAAACTGAATGGGAAAGATCATAGTGAGAGTTGCATTGTGATACTCTGTCAAAATTCAACAGAAAGCACATGGGCTGAATGGCCTCATTATATGATACTGAGTCATTTGTACTTCTGTATCGTCTAAAGCCAATAACCGAGATAGGGAATACAGAGTGCATTTTAGATTTGTTTCCCTTTGAGCTTCCAGTCTGCCTCACTGTTTGTATGCACCACTGGGAGATACAGACCATGGGATTCCTGGTTAAAACTGCCCTGGGTTTCCTTGAGGGAAAGTGGGGGAGAAAATGAGCCATGGTTTTCGCTCCTGACACCTATCCACTGACCCCACTGTGCACAGCCATCTCTGGGTCAGCCAAGAGGGGATCTGCCCTGACTGTGGTGCCTTCTGGAGTTGGATAGCCTGGCTCACAAAACCGGCTAGTTTTCCAGATGTGTGCACTGCCTGAGTCTGTCCCCCCTCTCTCTCTCTCACCCACTGTGCAGGTTTCGAGCTGGGGTTTGCGATGGCTAGCCCCAACACACTGGTCCTGTGGGAGGCCCAGTTCGGAGATTTCCACAACACCGCCCAGTGCATCATTGACCAGTTCATCAGTCCAGGCCAGGCCAAGTGGGTCCGGCAGAATGGGATTGTCCTGCTGCTTCCTCACGGCATGGAAGGAATGGTAAGGCTTGAGACTTTCAGGGATGGTGCGTTTCACAGTTTCGACCAGCTCCTGTCCTTGCTCTGCCTGAAAGAACATCACTGCCCCTGACAATTCAATAGCGGCAATAAAATGACAGCCTGTTCTGATTCGAGCATTGAGAGGCGTTGGCTGCTTGCCTTTTTAAGTGATATTTTATCTGGACACGAAAGGCACTGAGCTCAAAACATTCACAACAAATTTGGGAAGCAGCTTTCCAAAGCACAGAATCAAATCCCGGACCATGCTGACGTTTCGGCTTGACCCTCCCGGATCAAACCCTGCTTTCTACCTCCCAGCCCAGCTTCATTTCCCATTTTTCATTCCAATCACTGACCAGTTGGCGTTCAGTTTCTTGTGTGTGACCATTCTGTGTGCAACAAAGTCAGTTAAAATTAGAAGGAACTAGAAAAAGGAGGAGGAATGACAAATATTTTTGTCTCTTTGTTCTGTTTGTACACTCATCACGAATGTCCAAGTTCAGCGGGGCATAGGGAAGGCCAATGGAATGTTGGCCTTTATTTTAGAGGGAGTGGAGTATAAAAGTGGGGAGGTTTTGCTAAAACTACACAGGGCACTATTCATGCCACAGCTGGAAATACTGTGAACAATTTTGGGTCCCCGTATCTAAGGAAAGATAGACTGGCCATGGGAGGCGGCCCAGAGAAGGTTCACTTGGCTGTTCCCAGGTATGGAGGGACTGACTTGTGAGGAGAGGTTGAGTAGGTTGGGGCCTGTACTCGTTTAGAAGAATGAGAGGCGACCTTATTGAAACAGACAATTTTCTGAAGAAGGGTCTAGGCCCAAAACGTCAGCTTTCTTGCTCCTCTAATGCTGCTTGGCCTGCTGTGTTCATCCAGCTCTACACCTTGTTATCTCAGATTCTTAGAGGGACTTGATAGGGGGAGATGTGGAGAGGATGTGTCCCCTTGTGGGAGAGTCTGAGACCAGAGGGTGTAACCTCAGGGTAAGGGGTTGCCTGTTGACAGATGATGAGGAATTTCCCCTCTCCCAGGGGAGTGAATCTGTGGAATTCTTTACCACAGGGCTATAGCGGCTGGGTCATTCAAGGTTGAGACAGACAGATTTTTAATCAGGAAGGGGATTTGCGGGTTATGGGGGGGAAAAGACAGGAAAATGGGAGTTGAGGATGATCAGATCAGCCATTGAATGGCAGAATGGACTTTATTGGCTGAAGGCCTACTTCTGCTCCTATGTCTTACTGTCACAACAGCCTGAAATATTGGTGAATAAAGCTGCGCTTTAAAAACATAACCTTGCAATTGAGGAAGTATGGAAAAAGTCCCAATTCATATTTGCCTGTTGGTTTGTTTGTTCTCAGCACTTGTGTGCTGGGGACAATTTGATCCCTTAGTTAACCTTGCTAAAATATCAGGGCATTCGCAGGTTGTTGGTGGGAGCTGACTGCATGCAAATTGACTGCCAGTGTGTGCAGACTTCAAAAGACCCTCAATTGGCTGCAAAGCATTCCGCAATGTCCAAGTGGTTGTGGAAGGTGCTATATAAATGCAGACTTCTCCATCAGTCTCTGCCCTCCCTTCCTGCCCATCTTCCCCCCCCCCCCCCCCACCCCACAGCCTTCTGTCTGATCTGTCTCTCTCTCTCTCTCTCTCCGCCCCGGCTCACTCTCCAGTGACTAATACCCAGTTCTGGTGATGTTTCCAGGGGCCCGAGCACTCGTCCGCAAGGCCGGAGCGCTTCCTGCAGATGTGCAACGACGATCCCGACGTAGTGCCGGTGAGTACTGCTCAGCACCCGAGCTTTGTTTCTCGGGGGTGGGGGAAGGTGGGGTTTATTTTGGGATCGCTGTAACCCTCTCGATGGTCTCTTTCCCCCTTCCCCACCCCACCCCCTGCAGAAAATGATGGAAGACTTTGCAGTGCAGCAGCTGTACGATGCCAACTGGATCGTGGTGAATTGCTCCACTCCCGCCAACTACTTCCACGTGCTGAGGAGACAGATACTGCTACCTTTCCGCAAGCCGGTCAGTGCCGAGCCATTCTTCCACTCGCTCCGTGTTTTCTCTCCCGCTGATCCTCGGGACACTCACTTAGGGTGGTGGGCTAAGGGCGAAAGGAGTAGGGGCTCGATACCCAATCCCAGCAGCTGCCCATGCAGCAATACTCACATTGGTCTGACGTCACTGTGGGTCTAAAGTCATGCCCCAGTTGGGCTAAGGACAGTGGGTTTACATCCCCAAAGTCAACCGGCTTTTTTTATTTGATCATAAAGTCGTACAGCACAGAAATGGACCCTTTGGTCCAACCTGTCCATGCCGACCAAATATCCTAACTAACTCTAGTCCTATTTGCCAGCATTTGGCTCATATCCCTCTAAACCCTTCCTATTTGTATACCCATCCAGATGCCTCTTAAATGTTGTCATTGTACCAGCCTCCACCACTTCCTCTGGCAGCTCATTCCATACACGCACCACCCTCTGTGTGAAAAAGTTGCCCCTTAGGTCCCCTTTTAAATCTTTCCCCTCTCGCCTTAAATCTAGCCCCTCTAGTTTTGGATTCCCCTACACTTGGAAATAGACCGTGACTGTTCACCCCATCTACGACCTCATGATTTTATAAACCTCTATAAGGTCACCTCTCAGCCTTCGACGCTCCAGGGAAAACAGCCCCAGCCCATTCAGCCTCTCCTTTTTAGCTCAAACCCTCCAACCCCAGCAACGTCCATGTCAACTTGGTCATTTCTTGGCCGCCAAGCTTTTGATTTCAGCTTTTAATGTTTGCATTTAAATTTCACCCCCTTCCCCCAGCTGCAGTGGTGGGATTTGAACCCATGGACCCCCTCAGTGTTGGCCTGGCCTTCTGGATTGCTAGTCCGGCAACATTATTGTCATCGGAGCAGGAGTAGACCATTTTGGCCCATTTTCAGCCTCCTTTCCCCATTCGGTACAACCAGAACAAATCTTGGCTTCAATTCCACCATCCTGCTTTCTGCACCCCGCCCACCCACCTGATGCCGTGATCTAATATCCATCTATCGAATGTTGCAGCTTCACAGCCCTCTGGGGCAGAGAATTCTGAAGATTCACTACCTTTTGAGTAAAGAAATTTGTCCCACTCTCAACCCTGAACGACTGGCCCCTTACTCTGAGACCCATACCACAGAACATAGAACATTACAGCGCAGTACAGGCCCTTCGGCCCTCGATGTTGCGCTGACCTGTGAAACCAATCTGAAGCCCATCTAACCTAAACTATTCCATTATCATCCATATGTTTATCCAATGACCATTTAAATGCCCTTAAAGTTGGCGAGTCTACTACTTTTGCAGGCAGGGCATTCCACGCCCTTACTACTCTCTGAGTAAAGAACCTACTTCTGACATCTGTCCTATATCTATCACCCCTCAATTTAAAGCTATGTCCCCTTGTGCTAGCCATCACCATCTGAGGAAAAAGGCTCCCACTGTCCACCCTATCTAATCCTCTGATCATCTTGTATGTCTCTATTAAGTCACCACTTAACCTTCTTCTCTCTAACGAAAACAGCCTCCAGTCCCTCAGCCTTTCCTCATAAGACCTTCCCTCCATACCAGGCAACATCCTGGTAAATCTCCTCTGCACCCTTTCCAATGCTTCAATATCCTTCCTATAATGCGGCGACCAGAACTGTACGCAATACTCCAAGTGCGGCCGCACCAGAGTTTTGTACAGCTGCAACATGACCTCATGCTCCAAACGTCAATCCCTCTACCAATAAAACCTAACACACCGTACGCCTTCTTAACAAGCCTATCAACCTGGGTGGCAACTTTCAGGGATGACCCAATTTACAGAGCTCCCTCATCATAGGACAGTCCCCTCATTCCAGGGACTAATTTAGTGAACCTTCATACTGCTTCCTCTACAGGAACTATATCCTTCCTTCGATACAGAGACCAAAACTGTACACACTGCAGCAATTTTAGCAAAGCCTCAAAACAAGGCTTGTGAAGTGTGCTGTCCTGTATCTAAAGTTTACAGCACATCCAGTGTGATTTGTGTTGCAGGTTGATTCTATTACTGGATAAGTCCAATCCTAGCCTGAAATCTGGTTGATAAGATCATATCTTGTTTCTTTCAATTTATGAGGTGGTTTTTCACTGAAAAACACGCACGTGGTGCTGTAGATTTGGTTTTAACAACAAAAGAGGTTTATTACGCAAAAGAAATGAAGGTAAAATAGAATAATCCAAATTATTTGCATGCAATGCAGTTTGAAAGATTTTGCAACAGACAGTAAATCCGAAGTGCATCCTTTTATCATACTCAAACACTAGACAGAATTACTTCTCTGTTGGTTTGATTAAATTGTTACTTTCAATTCCCTGTCTTAAGACCATAATAGCCGCCTCTTTGAATATTCACAACACTGATCTTAGACTTTCTCAGCTTCAAAGAATCCCCTCAGAGTCCTAATTGAATACTTCTGGTCTGGAACTGTCGACGAAACTCTTTCTCTTGAGGTAACCTGTTTCCAAACAGTTTTGAAACTATCTCTTTTATTCTGCTTTACACATCCAAATTCTCCCACAACCTCTGAACTGAAACTCAAAAGCTTTCCAAGCTGTTGGTTTTCCCCCAGGTAAAAGTTATCAAGTCCTGATCCTTGAACTGAAAACAGCCTAATGTGCCTCCATTTTTACATTGTCCGCTCATAAGATAATCACAATGCAAACATTACGGCTGACGAAGTCTCTTTCTTATAAAGGCTTTAGGAAAAGAATCACAGCTACAAAAACACTGATAATTTAATCATTAAACCTTTTTGTGTACTCAAATCAAAACCCATGTGCCACTAGATCAAAATCCAAGCTCTGAAATGACTGATATGTATGAGCTGCGCACCTTGTAATATAAGTTCTGTTTGTCACCTCTACGGGCAGAGAACTAATCCACTTACTTTGCTGTTTTCAATTTCAGCTCATTATCTTCACCCCCAAATCATTGCTGCGTCATCCTGATGCGAAATCCAGCTTTGATATGATGCTGCCAGGTAGGTTGGCATGCCTTCAACAGGAATCCCTCCACTGTGCCCGTAGAATAATGACAAATGTTGCAGTTGGCGGCCCGATGCTTCCATTGTCATGGCTTCCATTTAAGGGCAGTTAAATCGTGTCAATGATATTCACGAGAAACTACCACCCCACTGTTGTGCTAAAATTTCTGAAGCGTTTCCATCCTGCATTCATCAGGACACATGCAAGAGTGCCAAATTTCAAGTGATCACCACCGGTGAAAGGAGAGAAGGAAAATATGCTAACTGGTTGGAGTGTCAGATCTGATCAGTTGGAGCAATGCCATGGGGATGGAATGGGAAAGTATAGGCTCCCAAATAATTCACAATGTGTAAGGCATATACATGTCCCTCTTGTTTGTGGAGAGCGGGCCCTTGCGTATGGGTTTTGCAGCTTCTAATATTGGCTATATGAGTGGTATTTTTCCAGGATGCTTCTGACTGTCCAAAAAAGAAAGTATGCTGCCTGACTGAAACAGCAAACTCCTGTGAATTTCAGCGTCGCTGCATTGCCGGGTACATTAGCTGTACGTCCCACTGATAATCCAATCGAATCAAACAGTGTGTTCTTCAGTTATTTTTTAGTAGGCCTATTACACACTGTACTCCTCCACTCTTTTAAATCATTCGTGGGATGTGGGCATCACTGGCCAGGCCAGTATTTACTGCCCATCCCTAATTGTCCAGAGGGGAGTTAAGGATCAACCACATTGCTGTGGATCTGGAGTCACATTAGTGAACCAGATAAGTTTTTCCTGACAACCAACGACAGTTTCGTGGTCACAATTAGACTTCTTAATTCTAGGTACTTACTGAGTTCAAACTCTACCATCTGCTGCTATGGTAGGATTCGAACCCTGGTGCCCAGAACGTTAACCCGGGTCTCTGGATCTGAGCGAGCAAGAATACCACAAGGCCGTTGCCTCAATTGCAAAGCCCAGAGCAAAACGACCACTGTTAGCTGGGAATTGCCTTGGATAGCACCTACTGAACAATCCCGAGTGTGATGATAGTGGCACCGACAATCAATGTACCATAATTTGTTGAATTCATAAACATGGCTGATTGACTAAAAGTAACATGGTTTCATAGGCAAAGACTAGCTAGCATCAATGAGAGATATTTGCATTGAAACACACAAGATTCTGAGATGTCTTGATAGGGTGGGTGCTGAGAGGAGGTTCACCCTCTTGTGGACGAAATGAGAATTAGGGAGAGATCACTTAAGTATTGGGGGCATCCATGAGGAGGAAATATTTTCTCTCGCCCAGAGAGCAGTGATGGAATGTGTTCGCGGCTAAGCAAGACATGTTGCTGTTTGAGGGAATTGGGGTTTAACATGGGCAGACTGGGAGGAGGAGGCCCACAGTCTGACCGGCCAGGATCGTATTGAATGACCGAACAGCATCTGTTGGGGCAGTTAGTCGATTGTGAGTTGCAAAGACATTGGGTATCGCATAGGGGAATGGAAAATGGATCTACTTGTGGGAGCATATACACACAGGTGCACCCTGTCCGTCTCTCTCGTTTTCCACTAGGTACAGAATTCCTGCGTGGAATTGTGGAGGATGGGTCTGCTGCTGAGAAACCAAAGGAAGTTAAAAGACTGCTGTTTTGTACTGGTAAAGTATATTACGAGCTGGCAAAAGAACGCAAGAACAAGAACCTGGAAGCTGAGGTTGCAATCACCAGATTAGAGCAGGTAAGCTGTTCAGAACTCCCAGCAGAGCAGGAGAAAGTGGGAGCAAGGCTTTTACTTATCCCTCTCTCTCGTCCCTCCTCGTATATCCCTCACCAATCGCGGTTTGTGTTCCTGGTGGATTAGGGAAAGGCAGAACGGCCAGTGGGTTTTTCAGTGACCAGTCCCGGAAAGGTGACAAGAAGCATGAAGGCGAGTTCCGGAGTGAGGTTGGAGTAACGTTGTTGGTCTGTGTTAAAGAGCTCACTGTCCAGACAGGATGTATGCATGGAGATACATGCGGAGACTGCGCTGTGTAGTCCAGCGAGAGTGCCCTCTCAGACACCAAAGTCACAATATTCCCCAGAACACACCTTCCACCTGACAATTCAGCGCTCCAAGGAGTATGCCTTGGAGCCATCAGTCTCCAATGAAATTCCTTCATTCTAGCCTGTCTTTTATTTTTGTTAATAACTTACCTCCTCTTCCATGGGTAATGCTGGGCAAGACCAGCATTCATTGCCCATTCCTAATTGCCCTTGAACTGAGTGTCTTGCTCGGGCCAAATCAGAGGGGAGTTGAGAGTCAACCTTTTTTTTTTGCTGTGGGTTTGGAGTCCTGTGACTTAGTAAGGATGGCAGGTTTCTTTCCCTGAAGGACATGAGGGAACCACTTTGTCATGGTCCCCATGACTGACTGTGGCTTTTATGGATCAAATCAAAATGCCACGCCATGGGGTTTGAACCTGCACCCCTCAATGTATCAGCATCAGTCTCTGGGTGGTCTTACCTCGATGCAACTGCTTCCCAAATTAAATCGGTGTTGGAAGCGAGCTCCTCTGTCTCTGGGTTGATGGACACTGGGGGGTGTCAGGCATGGGTCCCCACACAACCTGGAAGGTGCTCACACTCCACCCACGCTGTCTTCCTCTGCAGCTCTCTCCCTTCCCGTTTGATGTCGTGGAGAAAGAGGCCAAGAAGTACTCTAATGCCGAGCTGGTCTGGTGCCAGGAGGAGCACAAGAACCAGGGCTACTACGAATACGTGAAGCCGCGCATCCGCGCCACCACTCGCCGTGAGCGCCCGGTCTGGTGAGTAAAGGCCAGTCGCAGACTACCCACTGCTGCTAGGCACCCCATCCCTGGGGGTGCCGGGGAGGGCGTCTGACCTGAGGTGATATCTACTGTTCTTCTTTGGAACCGAAGCTGTGATGTTTACACTTTCATAATCATCAAACCTGATTGAGCAAACATAGACCTCTGCTGCTCCCTGATATCGAAATTATCGTTCAAGGTAAAGTGGCCTCCTTAGACCCCGAGGTTGCTTTCTTACTGGAGACAGATGATTGGTGATGGTTTAACCTGAGGGGTCACTATGCCTCAGGCGAGGGGAGAGATCGAGAAGGAGAGTCCTTCATGGTCACCTCAGCCGGTGATGGGGACACCAAAGTGAAAAATAATCTCCCCTTTCCAAATGCTTTAAATGTCTCCAGGTCCCCCTATCTTGGTGCCTTATCACTAGTCCCCGTAACACAATCATTCTTCTCCACTTCCTCAGCAGCCCACTCCCTCCATTTCCCCCAAGAGACCAAAACTCCATCCCAGCCTGAAATCTGTCCAACAGCCCTTCGGGGTAGAGGATATGCCACCTCCCTTGAGTGGAGGGGTTTCTCCCCATCTCAGTATAAGCAACCCTTATCCTGAGACAGTGCTGCCCCTGTGTTCTAGAGTCCCCAGCAGTGGGGTGGGGGGCAGGGGTTGAAAACAGTCTGTGTCCACCCTAATAAAAAAAATCCTACGTTTTGATGAGACCACCTCCCCATCTTCTAAACATCAGAGAATATTGATCCAGTTTACTCAGTCTCCAATCAGGACCCCTCATCCCAGGGGTCCAATCTAGTGAACCTCCTGTACCGCTTCTGAAGCAAGTGCATTTCATCTTTTTACATATTGGACGCTAAAACTGCACATGGTCGAATTGACTACCCATTGCTGTTTGCAAGAATTATCAATTGCCAGAGGAGCTCAGTTAGAAAAAGGCTAACTGTAAAGGAATAATGGCAAGGGCTGTTACGTCGAGGGTGAAGCATCTTTACAGGCCCACTGCATAATGATGGTGCATTTCCCTATTGGCCAATCTACCAATCCAGGGTGTGAATTTAACCACACTTTAGCCAGGTCATTTTGGTGCTATCAGCCTGAGCCCAGTGAGGAGGAGGGGTGTGGGCCACAGCAGCATAGATGAGGTAAAATTGAAAAGTAACTCAATTTAACTGGAGGGGAATGTGGATTCAAAAGAAAAATGAGATTTGCATTGATGTAGCACTTCACCTTACAGCCACGTGAATTGCATGGAATTGTTATCGTGCAGGAGGAGGCTACTCGGTCCAACATAGCTGCACCAGCTCTACATTCCTAAGTACCATTCACCTGCTTTCTATCCCCCATGCCCTAGCATGTTTGTATTGATCCAAATGATCATCCTATACCCTCTGTTCATCCAAGTGCAGTCACTATTGAGATGCCAGATTCCCAGCAACATGTTTGTGCACAGCAAGATTCTACTGACAGCGACATGATGGTCTGTAATTTGCACAGTTGATTGGCACTTAGGCAACAGGGTAAGAATTCCACCTGGTCCTCTCCCAAATGGGATCTTACACATCCACGAGGGGGTTGAGGGTGGTAGATGCAGGTTTAAATACCCTTGCCCTGACGGAGGGCACTGCCAATGAGGCTGCGAGGGTCTAGTTGGCTTGAGACCCGTGTCTGCTGACAGGGATCTATTTGTCTTGTGTCTCTGCAGGTACGTCGGGCGTGAGCCGGCCTCTGCCCCAGCGACGGGCAATAAGAACACCCACCTGCAGGAACTGAAGCGATTTCTGGAGACCAGCTTCAACCTGGAGGCCTTTAGCAACCTCAACAACTAGGACCCAGACTCTGACTCGCTTCGACACCTTAAACCTCCATCTTCCGTCCTCACTCTTAGGGACTATGCCGTGCATGCTACTGAGATCTAATTCCCACAACTTGGTGACAGGCTTGTATCTGCAGCATTTATTTCAGATAGGGGAAAAAACAAAAACTCGATTCAATACAGGAATTATGAAGCGGGGGAGAAAAGCCGCGTAAAACAGCCCACTGACGTGCTTTACGTTTCACCCCACTCTCCTTTTCAAACATATTGTTTAGTTGAACTGAGCAGTTGAAGTAACAAAGGTGTGGTTTGTACATTTTGTGAATAAGGAATTTTTCTATTTCTGAACTAGCCGTGGGCTGAACTCCCAGTCGATGGCTGGATCATGTTCTGATTTTAGCTCCTCCTGCCCCCACCGAACACTCCCCGCTCCCTCCTCCTCTCTTTCTCTCCCTCCTCTGCTACCATGAGTTCTGCCCAAGATTTGAAGCAATTTGGGAGAAGGCATTGCACTTTCAGCGTGTGCCAAAATCAAAGACTACACTGTATCCCTCACCTGTGTGTGGAAGAACTTTCTCTCAACAACCACTTCTTGCAGTTGCGCAGTAGGAAAAGCTGAGTTTATTTATTTTGGTACAAATAAAAAAAAAGTTTTCAACTGAATATAGCTTCATCAATAAAGAGACATTTTCCTCGTGCAACCCTTGGCTTTTCTTTTGAACACACGTCACAACTCCGTGTGGAGGTGGCTTCTCACCTGCACCTTTAAGAAAGTGGGCTGGCCTAAGGTTCCAGAACTTTGTGGGGTTGGCGGGGCAGGGGGAAGCAGAATGTGCCAGGTTCTAGAGCCGCACAGCGGGCAAGAGTGGAAGAAATCAATGTTCATGAGGGTGGGTGGCCAATGGATCAGGCCACACTCGAGTGTTGGTTTGTTTGGGGAGGGGGGGGGGTCAGCGGCTAAGAACGGAAAGCAGGAGAAAGCGCAGGTATCACAGACCAGAACAACAGAGGGTGAGAGTGGAATGGGCCAGGGCTGTACAGGATGGGGCAAAAGTGAATTGGGTCGAGGTACTACAGCAGCAGTTGGAAGTGATTGGTCTTCTCGAATGGGAGAGAGGTGGAATTGGATTTTGGTTCTAGACTGGGTTATTGAGAGAGCTTCTAGAGTGCAGGGCAGGGAGTGGAATGGACTTTGGTTCTGGAACAGGAAGTAAACATGTGGCATGGATTAAAGATCTTTGAGTTGCAGGATGAAATGCAATGCGCTGGTCTAGAGTGGGCTGACGTTCCAGAGTCAGTGAATTAACTAAGTGTTCTAGCACAGGAGGAGGAGATGGGGCTGGAACAGGCTGATGTTTCAGAATAACATCAGAAAACAGACTGGATTAAGGTTCTAGATTTGGAGAGGAGGGGAATATACTAGCACATGACAGGAGTATGGAAGTGGAATGGACTGATGTTCCAATGGGGCAGGTGGGGAAAGCAATGTTTTTTGTGTTGTAGAATGGATGGATTGGGAAAACAGGATGGAGGAGTGTTCTAGGATCAGGCAGCGGAACTGAGGAGGCTGTTCTTGAACTAAAGAGGAGAAAGCAGAATGGAAGAGTGCTTCTGGGGTAAGACTGTTAATGGCATTGAAAGATTGGTTAGTTGCCAGTCACAATCCAAACTGATTTAATATCTCTGGTGCAAATCAAAACGTCGGCATCATTTGAACTTTGAGTATCCCTCAAAGATTTCAGCAAATTAACCACAACTTGAACCTGTACCGGCATACAGACAGCAGAGAGCCCAACTGCTGTATTATACTCCTTCTGTATTGGCAGAGAGCCCAACTGCGTTTCAGGACAATAGACAGCCTTTACACCCTATTCCTAATGTCCTCTTGTTACCCCAACACAACTGGCAGTAGCCTTAAGCCAGGCAAAGTAAGTCATTTGGGGCACCCCCTTAAGAATGTTGGGGTGAGCCGTCTTCTTGAACCACTGCAGTCCATGTGGTGTATGGACACCCACACACTGCCCTTAGGGAGGGAGTTCCAGGATTCTGACCCAGCGCCACTAAAGGCACAGCTGATAAATTTCCCAAGTCGGGGCTGGTGAGTAGCTCGGAGGGTGAACTTGCAGGGGCTGGTGTTCCCATGTATACACTGATCTTGTCCATCGAGATGGAAGCTGTCATGGATTTGGAAGATGCTGTCTAAGGAGCTTTGGTGAGTTGCTGCAGTGCATCTTGTAGATGGTACACACTGCTGCTACCGAGGGTCAGTTGTGGAGGGAGTGGATGTGGTGTCAATCAAACGGGCTGTTTTGTTCCTGGATGGTGTGAAGCTTCTTGAGTGTTGTTGGGGCTGCACTCATTCAGACAATTGGGGAGTATTCCATCACACTCCTAACTTATGCTTGGTCAATGATGGACAGCCTTTTTAGGGGTTGTCAGGAGGAGAGTTACGCGCTGCAGGATTCCCAGCCTCTGACTTGCTCCTGTAGCCACTGGGTTTATGTGGGACTGGTCCTGTTTCCGATCAATGGGGAATATAAAACATTTCTTTAAGCAGAGATGGGGCTGTCTCTGTTCATGCTGTTTTAATGCACGTTTTTGTGTCAGGACTGGATTGGCATTTATTCGTGGGAATAGGTGATGTTGACCTGTTACAGGACACTTGTTAGACCCCGGCTCGATGTATTGTGTGCAGTCGAGGGTCCCACATTATAGGAAGGTGTGAACACACTGAAAAAAGAGAGAGAGTGCAGAAGTCATTTACAAGAACAGGTCCAGGGATGAGAAACTTCAGCCACGAGGATAGATCGAAGATGTTGTGACTTTCCTCGTCGGAGAGATAGTGACTGAGAGGGAAATCTGATAGAGTTTACAAAATCAGGAGAGGGAGCTATACAGAGTAGGTAGGGAAGAAGCTGTTCCTGTTGGTAAAAGGAACAAGGTTGGGGGGTGGGGGGAGGGGGAGGGGGAGGAGGTGGAGGTGGTGGTGGTGGTGGAAATAGATTTAAAGTCAGATGGAAACAAAGCAAGGGCGCTGTGAGGAAAAATCTTTTTCACAGTGCAAGTAGTCTGTGTGTAGAAGGTACTGCCTGGAAACGTGGTGGAGGCAGGTTCAATTGAGACATTCGAGAGGGGTATTGGATGTGTATTTGGATAGAAATTGTGTGCCGGGAAACGGGGAACAGGCAGGAGAAATGGGATAGAACCTGCTCGCAGATGCAACAGGCTGAACGGCCTCATCCTGTGCCTGTAATAATTTGGTGACTGATTGCTGCAGTGACATTTGATTTCCAAGTGTTGGTTGGCATTTGCCCAGATGTGGCGAGACTGCAAATGTGGCTCAGTGGGTTAAAGTCTTCCACTTCTGAGGCATGAGGAACCAGATTCACATCCCGGTCTTCTGCTGTATTATATTCCTTCTGGATTATCTCTGCCCAAAGCAAATGGTCATGTGGGAGTTTGCAATACTCCCTGCTTGGCTAGATAAGTGCACCAACACTCAAAGCACACCCTCTGGATTCGATATTTAAGAGTTGTAGCCTGTGATCGTTACAGTCTGATCCTCACTCTGACATGCCCTTTGGAAGCACAGGCTCTATCCTCTTCCCCCGAGTGAGAATGGAGGCGAGGATTAGCGTGTGGGTAGTTGATGGGAGGAAGGAAGGAAGGACAGATAGGAGGATGTCCCACTCACTAGCAGAAACCAAATCAGCCCAGACTCCAAATCCAGTCAAATTGTGCACAGGTGCGATCCAGAGTGCAAAGCCCTTGTGGTTGAACAGTCAATTTGGCAGTCACAGAAAGAGTTCTTTTAACTTTGATTTAAATAATCTGCATTTAGTGTGCAACTTGAAACAGAAAAGGTTCAGTAAAATTCACCTTGTGCACAATTTGTAGCTTAGTTGTATCATCATAGTACAAGAGGATTCCAAAGAGAGTGAGGGAAACGGTAGGGATAAGTGCTGAGGATCCCACAAGATCTGATAGCTTTACGTCACTACCTGAACCTTTTTTAGGCACATTTAAGGACAATTACTGATTTCTTAATGAGATCGCAACCGCTGATTTTGTGTTTACAAGCCTTTATCTATTTGAGGACAGAGTCCTACAAATGAGTCTCTGTCCAGTTGACACATTCAGTTTCTGGCGTCTCCTCTCCACTCCCAGGAATCAGATGCGACCCTTCAAACAGTCCGTGCGAATAAATTCATACAGATCTC